TTTGTATCAACTCTTGACATATCAAAGGATGACTTGTAAAAATCACATAAAAAAAAATACATATATGTCTAATTCCAACCATTTTTTATTTCAAATATCAATGATTGTAGTATGATTTTTATAATATAGAAAATATTGGATCTTGATTGTTTTATAGATAAAATCTTGAAAAATAAGTAAGTTCCTGATTCTTTATTAATTCTCACACCAAAGCCATCTTTTATTTTGTTTGGCTCAACAATTCTAATTGGCCATCACTTTTTAATGATTAAGATCCAAATTGGTAATCAATATTTAATCATATCATCCTAAATAGTAGATTAAGAGTTAATGTTATTACCATACAAGTTTTTGACTAATTCAAACTTGTTGCATAATTATATGTATCCTTTAACATCAAGATATCAAACAAATCAATCCTCTACCTTCTTGGATTAATTTAAGATACATAAATTTCTATCCATACAATGTCTTATATTGTCATGTTAATCACAAGTTTGTACCAAAGATATAATAATGTAAGTCTCATCAATATATCTTAATTGGTAATTTTTTTAATATATATATAATATTAATATTAAAATATCTATTTTATTATTTAAATATTTATTAAAATTTAGAAAGATTTATAAGTCATAAGAATTGTACTAGAAAAAATATCATAAAAATAGACTTAGTAAGTCTTTAAAGCGATTATCTTAATTGGTTTGGTATTTATTTTTTAATGTAAAAATAAATATTTAATTATTGAGACTAATATTTACTTTGGTTCTATATCTATATGATATACTTATTCATAATCTATACTTGCTAGTTAGTAGGTAGAAGATGCACAAAAAAGAACTTCATGCCTTTTCAATTATATCTTAGTTTGGAATCTTTAAAATTCAAGGATGGAAATATTGGCCACCTTTTTCTTTTACGTATTATGTCATACATATTTGAGGTCTTGAAGATTTTTTTGGTCAAGATTTGTTCTTTTTAGTTAATATACAAATTTACAATAACTTTTCATTAAGTTTTATAATTGACTTTGGTTTTTTATTTTTTCTTTTAATATTTATAATAAAATCTTTAAAGAATTGATAAAAAATATAATTTTTTGTTGTATTTTTTTAGGAATAAAATCTTAATACTTAAAGTTTAAATAAGAGAGAAATCTTTAATTTTAGTAAAGAGTGGCATACTCTCTTTATAATTTAGTAGGTCAATTTTGAGAGCCTCTTTCTTGTTATTCATAAGTTAAAAAGTTATAAGTATTTTTTTTTTTTTTAAATTGATAAAGTTTAATTTTCAAAATAATAAGAATAAATTATATTAGAATTAGGAAGTAATTAGAGTTTTGATTATTGTAGAAAAATATTTGTTACTTTTAATTCAAGTAATTAAAAAAAAGACACAACTTTGGAAGACAAAATGAAGATGATAAAGGCAACAATAAGGCACAAGTTTTAGAAGAAGATGCCATTTATAATCTTGTAGAATTTTTTTTATACAACACCTTGAGTTATCATTAAAATATTTGTCTTTATTTTGAACAATCTTATTGACCTTCACTTCTAAAGCCTTATTTTTTAAACCTTCTTTGCAAAAATTATTCTATTATTGTTGTATAAATATAAAAAATATTCAAACTTGCTCACAAATTTCTCAACAAAATATATATCTTATCTTCTAAACATACTTCTACTTATAATTCTACTTAAAGCTCTAAATGAAGCTCCATCCATTGCTATATCTTCAATTTTTTTTTCTTTCTTTTTATAAACTTCATATAAACAAAAAAAATACAAAACACTTCTATATTAAAAAAATTATGTTGGAATCACCAAATATATTATGTTCTATAAAAATCAACATGGAAATATATTATATATCTAATTATAGAAGGATTCGATCTTTCTTTAAAGGTTGAATTATAATACAAAAACAATACATGTAGTGTCGTGATGTAATACGACTATATAGTGAAACTAAAATCAAAATTTAATTTTTAATTAATATCTAATTATCTTGATCCAATAATAACTCAAAGTATCTAAATATGGCTTTTATGAAAGCCTCTTAGGTTATTTTCTTATCTTAATAGTTAGTAGGTTGAAGGTTGGTTAGTACCTTTACCTCATAGGCTATAGAGACTCTTTTTTTACCCTAGAAAAACCATAAATTGATAAAATGAGGTTACAAGAGATAAATAATTAATATGGTTGATACTAGGATTAAGTTGAAGATAAGGTTGGGCTAAAAAATCCTTAGGATAGATTAGATTAATACTCAAGGATCAACGATTTGTGAGATAGGATCAAAATCAGACCTCTAGCTATTAAAACGATCACCTAGGGTAAAATAGGGTCTCATTTGAAGATCAAAGATTAGGATTTGAGAGTTAGGTTAGAGCTTCTTTTAGAGACATAAGACTATTTTTGATAGGATTTTTTTGGACTTGGCAATTGTTGTTGAAAATTAGGATTTGTATTGGCAACTTGGAATTTATGCAATGAAATTAGGACTAGCACTCTTGACTAATTTGTAAAATTGGTATTACATCTATAGTTCAAATTTTGATAGTGCTTGATTAATTAGGTGTTCTAAGTGTATGTAAAATTTTGTGATAATTTAATATTATAATTGAGAGATATCTGGATTTTGGTTTAAGAACATAGCAATAGTTAGTAGCTTGGAGTTGGATAGGATTTCTATGATATTTGGAGATTTACTAGTCGGATCAAAGTGAAACTTGGCATGGTATTGGAAGACTTGAAGATTAAGCTATACACCAATTTTGAGTTGAAGTTTATAATTGAAGAAGGAGAAATCACTACTAGAACTTATGCATCATCTTTCAAGTTAGTGGCCGAGTGACATCAGTGCAGTTTTTGGATGTTTTCTCACAATATGTAAGTTGGATTGAGCTGATATTTCTTGAGCATATAGAAGACTTATATTGACAATTGCATGATAAACTTCACATCAAGTGGAGAGTCACATTAGAAGTTATACCTTGTCAAAGCTAATTGATTATGCTTAGGGCTTGCAAGAAAAATCTAAATTACTTAAATATGAAAGTAATAAGGTAATTGGGTTTTATGTATGATTGAAGCTACTAAGAAGTGTGTTTTTTAGCACTTTTGAATTGAAATTTGGATTATATTCTTGTCATATGGGTAAAACCTATTAGGATTTCTTGGATACTTGTGAAACACAACCTCACCTTCCTTAGTTAGGTGCCCGGTGCATTTCCAAACAAGATAACACTTAATACGACAATGGTATTTAGAAATGTCTTCTTAGCAATCTTGAATAATCTAAATAAGCTTCCAATTGTGCTAAGTATTATTTATCAATTTTAGAAAAATCCTAAAAACTCCTTATTATATTGTAAATAATTCCAAATAAAAAAATTATTATATATGACTAAAAGAAGTGTTTACATAATCTTAGGGATGTATCCACCTAGTAGTTACTAAAAATAAATACTAAAAATTCTAATACATATCATTTTTCATATTTTTTATTATATCATTTTTTTTCTATTAAACATTTATAACTCAATTTATCAAAACACTTCTAGAGTTTTAAATAAAACATTTAAAATACATGCACAAATATATATATATATATATATATGTATATATCTTTTGTGACAAAAAATCCAATGAATCTTTACATATCATATATTCCAACAAATAAACAAAAATTATTCTATTTTATGGACCAAAAAAAAACAACAAAAAAAAAAAAAACAAACAAACAAACAAACAAACTTACAATTAGAAGCAAAACAGGCAAAAATATATTATAAATACATTCATTAAAAATATATAGATCTGTATCAATGATTGACCACACATTTCTATCATGCAATACATATAAAAACTTAACCAAAAAAAATTATGTTTCAGAAATCCTGTGGAGGTTTGATAAGAAATATTTGATTTATTTATTTTTGTTTGATTTTGGCACGACAGGTTTGATTACTCTATTTTATAATACATATATGTATATATAACTTATCAAAAAAAAAAAAAAAATCAGAATAATTTATCATAATCAGCCACTACATCAAATCACAGTAATTCATTGCAATTCAAAATAATCCATCATAACAATTTAGGATAATTCATTAGGTTGTATCAAAGATGATTTTTCTTTTTCAAAATTACAATATTTTGATAATTATGTATTTTAATTTTTTTTATTACAATCTACAAAAATAAAAAAAAAACAATGATAAAAATAAAACCATCGGGAAATAGATTATAAAATTATGAAATCGGCCAAGATTATTTTCGACATCATTATATGATGTTCATAACATTTATTTCAAGCCATACCAGTGTATTATTAATACTCTCCTTAAAATAAAATAAAAAGTGAAAAGTAAATAAAAGATGCTCAATCAAGTTTTAATTTGATAAAATAGAATCACAAAGTTAAGTTGGGTACAGACAACCGATTCATTCATTAATGCATTCTATTAGTTTATCCAATCAACTATAACACCCACTAATCCATTCACACATCCAACCCATATTTTTAAATAAACACATTTCATTATGGAAAGTAAGATTAGTGGGGGAGGGGGGGGTGGGGACCATGGGTGCGGGCACGTTCAAGCACTTCACTTTTTACTTTTTCCAGGGCTTTTTACCACACCCATGTACTTTTCCGATGGATAAAGCGCGCAGTAGTTACTATAAAAAAGTTCATCGTCACCTTCCTCTTTCGAGATGAGAAAAGTGCCAAAATGTGCGATCCGCGAGATGCCGCTCGTCGTTCCCCGCACGCTCCAACGAATAAAGTGCAGGCGAGGGCCACAGCCTGTTTGAGGTCAGCACCTCACTGCCGGACTCCGCCCAGGTTTCGCACGCGGTTCACCGCGCTTTTCACCGACAGAAGCGCCGGTCGCAGCACGGGTGGAGCAGGTTAGCCAGCCGCACCCGGCCCAGCCCAGCCCTACTCCCACCACCAATCGGAACCCCACTAATGGGCAATGGGCGGCTGTCGCGACGGGGCTGTTGTTGTTGTGGAGCTCCTCTTGTGCTCCTCCTTCCTGCTCACGGCCTTCGTTACTCCTCTCTTCTTCTCCTGCTCTTCCTGCTTCCTTCCTCTTCGCTTAGGGTTATTCCATTACTTCATCGCAATGCGACGCTAATTTGCTTTCGTCGCGCGTTCGGTTCCTTCCCCCGAGTTATTGCTGACACGTTTTTTAAAGGAATTTTTGATGATCGTCATCGGCGACTGTGGGGATTGATTGATGGTTTTGGTTGGCCGTGTGGAGGGGTGCAGCTAGGTAGTAGCGCGGTGCCTGCGATGGGGTTTGCGTTCGGGAGTGCTTGTCACGGGATGGTTTCTACTCGGTGCCGGTGGTGGTGGTGGTAGAGCTTGAGGGAGGTTTTTTCAGAGGCGAGGAGGGGAGCGTTGTTGTAACGGATAGGTTGAGGATTGTCGAGGGTGGCGTGATCTTGGATTAGGAGAGTGAAATCGGGATAGGTTGCGGGAGGACCGAGGTGTAGGGATTTTTGTTTTTTGGGTAGTGTTTTTGTTTCTTCGGAACAGTTGATCGGTGTTTGGTGCCCTTGTGGCCTTCCAGCTGCAAGGACTCCGTACTTATTTATTTATTTACTTATTCTTGCTTCCCCTCCCCTTATGTTTTGTATTCATTTCATTTTCATTATCATTTATTTGAAATTTTAGAGGGGGGGGAGTTGGTGGTCTGTACACTTTTGTCATTTTTGTGTGGTATCGCGGAGGGGGACCTGGTGAGAGGCGGAGGGATTATGCGAGTGAGGGATAGTGAGTGAGATCGGTGGCAGAGAGAAATGGTGTCGCAGGTGGTGAAGACGGATCCGCATTGGCCTCCTTTGGAAGAGAGTATGGGACAGGAGAGGTATTCATTGAATTCGGATGTCGTGCCGTCGTCTTCCGTTCCCGGTTTTCATAACTTGTCGGCGCCCCAGCCTATGGATGGCTTGCAGAGTACCGCGCCCCCGCCGTTTCTGACGAAGACATATGACATGGTGGATGATCCTGCCACTGATCCCGTAGTCTCTTGGAGTACTGGTCACAACAGCTTCATAGTGTGGAACCCTCCTGATTTCGCTCAGGAGTTGTTGCCGAAGTATTTTAAGCACAACAACTTTTCCAGCTTCGTTCGGCAACTGAACACTTACGTAAGTTTCAAGCATTAATATCTGAGCCCAGCTATCAAAGTACTGGGAAGAATTAATGATACCCTGCTTGTTATTGTAAGGTCGGAGTGTTGCAAATCTCCTCTTCAATCTTGACGCGGCTGAATTCGTGGTATATAAGTAGTTTTATCATTTCTTACAAGCAAAGCATTTTACCTCCAAATCATTCAGCCCGAGGAGGCAATTTCGTAATTTAATCACGTGGACATCTCCACAATTGTGCGTGGAGTTGTTTGACAAGCTAATTCGTGTAGAATTGTTTTCCAACCTTACACACATATCTACGAGTTTGATTTGACCTTTTTGTAGTTATGGTTCAAAAGAAATTGGCAAGTTCGTGACTTCTTGACGCAAATTTGGATGAATTTTGTTCAGGGATTCCGTAAGGTTGATCCGGATCGTTGGGAGTTTGCTAACGAGGGTTTCTTGCGTGGAAGACGAGATCTTTTGAGGACTATTCATCGGCGCAAACCAGCGACGCACTCTCAGCAATCAGCGCAACAGCAACAGCAGCACCAGCAAACCGACCAGGGTTCTGTGGGACCCTGTGTAGAAGTTGGGAAATTTGGGCTTGAAGGTGAAATTGAAAGGCTGAAGAGGGACAAAAACGTGTTGATGATGGAACTGGTGCGATTACGGCAACAGCAGCAGAATACAGAGCGAGATTTGCAGGTACTTGAATTTTCCGCACAGTTTTCTTTTTGCATATGTTATTTGGCATGCGTCTGTTTTGGTGGATCTTTTCAAGCGGATGTGGAGATGAGTTTGGACAAGTTTCTGTTGCCTCACTGGATGTGCAGATGCTGCGTAGCCGTGAGAAAGTCCAGTTCAGCAATAAAATGTGGCATCAATTCCCATTTCATCGGCGCAAGGATTGCTTAAAGTGATAGTTTCTGTCACTGTTTGGTCTAAATTGTTTAAGCATATCCTTGTAAGTTGGGGTTTATAAAGTTCATGTTAGTGAGAGAAAGCTGTGACAACGTCGACCCCGTCGACCGTATGGGAAAGGAATTTGGCAAACTTATAACTGGGATTTAGATCTTCCAGCGGATCGCTTAGTCTCGTTTTCCTTTTTGATAGTTGTTCCTAATCACAACCTCGAATTTCTTAATAGAGATGTAATCGCACTGCGAGAGTCATGTTCTCGGAGCTTATCTCTCAAAATTTTACGAGTAGGTCTGTATATGTGTTAACGAAACGGATGCTCTTTTACTAGGATCATCAACCGTAAAGGATCTCCGGTGTGATGGTGATTCTAGTTTTGTGCTTAGTAAAATATTAATACTCGGTTCTCAACAAGCAGATTGGCAGACTTGTTCGTAAATGCTTGCTGAAGACTGCAAGTCGTTTGTGCAGGCAATGGGTCAACGGCTGCTTACAACAGAGAATCGGCAGCAACATATGATGTCTTTTCTTGCCAAAGCTATGCAGAATCCAAGCTTTTTGGCTCAACTTATGCAACAATCAGAGAATAAGAGACTTGCTGCAACCGTTCGGAAGAAACGGCGTCTTCCTAAACAGGATTCTAGTGCAGATGATTCAGTTAGCTCAGATTCCCCAGCTGATAATCAAATTGTGGCTTTCCATTCTAATGGAAATGCAGATGCTAATGGAGCTCGGGCTATGATTATGCAGTTTTTCAACTCAACAGATGCTGCATCCGCACCTAGTCTTGATAGTGGTCCCCTTGAAGCCTTGTTTAGGGATCTAGGCTCCGCCCCTTCTGGTCCTGACGCACTGAATCGACAATCTGGCGTCACGCTCACTGAAATGAATATATCCGGCCTTGGTGATGCTTTACCTGGACCGGCTGTCATGGATGCTTCAACTGAAGTTCCTGACCTGCCAATGCCCCAACATCTGACAAGTCGAATTCCAAGACTAGAAGGTTTGTACTTGTTCCACCGTTTAGGAAGGTTGCATCTGCGGAAGAGCTTTATTTGATTATTGTCTTTTACGAGAATTGTCCATTTTGTCGTGTAATTGACACCCAACGGTTCCTTTTTGTACGAATTGGTGTTGAGATGATGATTTTAACCGTCAATTCTTTTGCTATAATTGAGGCATCGAGTCTTCTGGATAATTAAAAATCCTTTGAAGTTTATTTAATGTCTGAGTATGTTTGGTTTAGGGGCTTATATAATGCCATACAGGAATCAGAATATACCAAACATCTAATAGGTCTATTAGTGAACTTTGTGAGACATAATGTGGAATGTCCGTATGGATTAGGACTTACTTGTTCATGGGAACTAGTTCTTATTTTCTAAAGCAATTTTTTCATCTTGGACCAGGTGCCCTAAGTATGAACAAAGGGAGTATTCACTCTGGTGCAGAAATCAAGCCCGAGGATATCACTGGAGAGTCCATGGAATTTGCCTCAGAAGGAGGCAGAACTTCATTAGAGGGAGATGAAGTGATATCGAACCTCGGCAGCCCAGCCGTATCAGCTGCTAACGATATATTTTGGGAGCAATTCTTGAGTGAGACTCCATCAGGAGTAGATCACGAACTAGATGGTGATTTAGATTTAGGTCCTCATGACAAAGAGGCTGATGGAGATGAGATTGTGGGGGATTCAGTTGAAATTTTAGCTGGTGACGAACATGGTGGGGAAGTGAAAAATTGGTGGAGTAAGAAGCCTAGTGTCGAGCAGTTGTCTGTTCAAATGGGACAGCTAGCACCTGGGTAGGGACTAAGGGTTGTTTCAGGGCAAACATCTTAATGTATGAAGCATGGGTAAATAGAGGCGTTTCTTGTTGGCTCAATATTCGCTAAGGCACTGCATACTGGACATTGCTACGACCATTATTGTAGGTAATTTAAGATGGTCTGATCATGCATCCAAGTGTACATTCACGCTGAAGTTTCTGGTATAGTTCGTAGTGGGAGATGGTGGGTGTTCTCCAGGGGAGATCAGAACTACCTGGATTTGTATCAAGTAGAGCCCAAGCTGTAATCGATCATTTTGCACTCAGCTGAGTGTGTATGTCCAGATCTCCTCTTGCTTTTAAGCGCTACAGAACCCAAAACACGTAACTGTTTTGTCTCAGGGATCTGACATCACTACATTCTCGTTTTAATGCTTAAAAAACTGCCTTATGGGAAACGAATATCGAGTATTTTATTCAATTGCAAATCATGGAAAAGTGGATGGGGTTTTCCAAATAAAATGTACGAAACTAGTTATTGCATCACAAAGAATTTAGTGTTTGTGTCACCAAGAAAATCAGTATTTGGGCACAAGAGTGCCGAGGGTGGAAAATAGACCGGAACATTATAATCGTCCAATGATGTGGTTATGTAGAGAGTAAAATGACCACTTGAAGTGACTTTGTGACTTTGTAAAGACACAAATGTACTAGAGGGGATGATTAACATTTCATAATGTTTTTATTGACCATCTTATAATGATAAAAGTTTGTTAAACATACTTTATTATGTTTTTGGTATGTCTTGTTGGTCTTTGCTTGTGGGTTTCACAACATTGTTGTAGCCAATTTTCTTATATAGTAGTTTTGTCCATCTATTTTTAATCTTGAGTAGTTCTAAGCTCATTCATTAGATAGGTTTTGTTGGTCAGACAGTTTATATTGCAAAATTATTTCACATTAATTCTGGTGTGTTGTATAACTATTTTTTGCTTGTTAGATTGTGTTACATAAGTAATTTTGGAAATAATTTATTGAAATTAGAACTCATTATGGTAGAACTTGAAGATTAAATATATTTAATTATTGTTTAGAGTCTAACTCTTTATTAATCAATCTGTTTAAGTAAGTAAGGCGAGCATTTATTTGCAATATGTGATTTAATAAAGAAAGTATTATATTTTGATTTACTTTGATTGATGCGACATTCAATGACAAAAAAGTAAAAGAAAGTGTGAAGCATTATAAATGTTTCAACAATAAAATAAAATAAAAATAAAATAAATTCTACTACAATTTAAACTTGAGTCCTTAACTTTCTTATAATGTTTAAATAATTTAAATTACTCATGTTAATTTATACTTTAATTTCGTAGTAGTAGTAATATATATATATATATATATATATATATATATATTTATATATTCATGAAAAAAATCAAAAATAAAAATGGTAATAATAATTTTTATTTATATTTTTTTAATTAATTAATATTAAGCAACATGCTTAAATGAGTGTATTTGTGTATTTTGTTAAGTACATAAAATACATCTATTTATCTATTAAAATCTACAAATTTATTTTGAATAAATAAAAATTAATTTTGAATAAATAAAAATTAATTTTGAATAAATAAAAATTAACTTAAATAAAATAAAAATTAATTTAAATAAATAAAATATAATTAATTCAAACTCCAAAAATATTTAAATGCAGAAAATTCATCCTTTCGTGTATACATCCGAATAGGGCTCAAATATCCAAACTGTATTCCTTCCCAATGCAATGGGGCACGACACAACCCGGCCATTTGGATGAGAGAAACCCAAACAGAACCCCTCATCCTTCATTCGTCAACAGAACACTACATCCATACATTCATCCAAACGCATCCATGAGCGCACATCATCCATCCATGGTGACGATGAAGGAGAACGGGGGCTAAAACCCTAATCTAAGGGCGGAAACGACAGAGAGCTCAAAGCAGGGCCAGGCCTGTCTCTGAAGCCCTCTTTGGAAGAGTAATCACACCCTTCTCTCTCTCTGTGTCGTGTTGAGTTGTGTTGCGCCGCTGCTGCTGCAGACCCTTTTGTTCCGCAGCCGCGCCCAGTCCGTCGCCATGGTGACCCCTCTCGTCAAGCGCGATGTCATCAAGAAGCGCGTCAAGAAGTTCAAGCGCATGCAGTCTGACCGCAAGATTTGCGTCAAGGTACAGTCTCTACACTCTCACTTTGGGTCCTCTGGGTCCTCGGGAATCTCCATGGTTTGTTCGTAGTGGTTGGCAATTTACCCATTCGGGTTCCTCTTGTGTTTATTCTTCGTGGATTCCTGCAGTTCCTGTGAAGGGTTCATGAGAGCACCATGCTGTTTTAGGGTTTTTTTTTGTGTCTGCAGTGCGTGTGTTCTGCTGTTTCGATGCTCCGTGCTGTGTTGTTTTTGGGTGGCTGTTTGTTTAATATGCATGTGAAGAGACCCAGCTCCAGTTGTCCTTTCATCACGTGCTTTATTCCTCTCGCTGTTTGTGAATATGGTGACTTGGAGGTGGATTCAGTCTCCATGGATTGAGTTCTGATTTTGTCGGTCGATGTGTGTTTGTTTTTCTTTTCAGACGAACTGGAGGAGGCCGAAGGGAATTGACTCTAGGGTGCGTCGTAAGTTCAAGGGAACTACTTTGATGCCCAACATTGGTTACGGATCCAACAAGAAGACGAGACATGTGCTGCCCAGCGGTTTCGTTAAGTTTTTGGTTCACAATGTGAAGGACGTCGAGTTGTTGTTGATGCACAACAGGTGAGTGGCTTGCCGAAACTCCCCGTTTTATCTTACCCGCTGTAGGAATTATGTGTTGATACACATTTTGGATATTGTTAAAAAGATGTAGTCACTTAATGATTTGATGTGTATGTGTGTGTTAACACACTGAATTGTAAGCTGATTGGAAGGTAAACAGGAAGATGGTACATGTAGTCAGAGTCGATGAGGTACCCTGGGAATCTCTGTGAACACCCGTCTATAGTCATTGCCCATAGAACTAAGTAGGATTCTTAGATTGCGGTGAGATTCAGTAAGTGTTTCAAATACCAGAGGTTATTGGTTACATTTCAGATTTTATGTCGTCTTTCAGTGGCGCACACATTAGATATGTATCGATGGTTAAATTTGTGAAAATGGTTTACATGTCAATGCAGGAAGTACAGCGCTGAAATCGCACACAACGTCTCCACCTTGAAAAGGAAGGCGATTGTGGAGCGCGCAGCACAGTTGAACATTGCGTTGACCAACGGAAGTGCCCGTCTTCGCAGCCAGGAGGACGAATAGATGTGATAGTTTTCCTCTCGAAACTCTCTTTTTCTATTTTGTCCGAGTTGATGTATTTCACTAATACTACATCAATGACGATCCGATATCCTGGGAACCCCTGCGGAATGATTTGTATCTTTTGCGATGTTTTTGATTATTTGATTTGCGACTGTTATTGAGTGGGTCCAGTCTAAATTTATTTCGAGTTGGTTGTAGTTAACGAGTTCAGAGAACAGTCATTGCCATGACATGGTTATGCACCAATTAATGATAAAATACAACCTTACAATAACTTTGATATTGAGGGTAGCTATGTTCATCAATGTACCTCCTTAGTTCTATTCATTTTCTCATCCCATATTCCAATACTTGGGAAGTGCCATACGAGTGAAGGGTTCTGTTGAAAATTGCGAAACCGTTCTACTAAATGGAACTTTTGGGCTCTTTATATCAAAGTTCTGCGTATTTGGAACCCTGTAATTGCAGAATAAGAGGAGTAAAAATTCTAAAGCTTTATTCCCTTGTGCTATTGCGAACCTTCGATCTCCATATTGGTACATCAAAATATCCCCAACCCAATATTGAAACTGTCATCTTGAAACTTACCTGGCAAACTGACGTCATTGGATCACCTTGATAAGGCGACCACGATGTGCAAAATCTGCCCCACAAGAAATATTTGCAGTCTTCACGATAATGTATGCATGGACACCAATCTATCACAGTTTCCAATCTTTGCGCAACTACAACTTTCTTGAATACCCTGAGTAGTTAGTCGAGATGCTTTTGGAAGAATTCTATCTGGAAGCCTTAATCTGCATGTATTCTGAGACCTTTCTAGATGGATCATCGTGCGTGTAACCATAAATAAAGTCAATTAACATTTTCAGAGCGAGATGGTAGAAATGGAACAAGGTTGAAATTATTCTCTATTTTGGGAACTTTTTCAAAATAGTCTTGGTGCTGTTCGACTCAAAAGTTGTATTAAGCATTCTAAGATTTTCGATATCTCTGAATATTATTGCACCCAAACGCAACAATCCCATCTTTGAAAAAGTGTGTTATATAAATTCTTAATTAACCCCTTTATCAAGGTATTGTTTTTATCAGAATTGTTGATATTTTTGAAAGAATATTTTTAATCAAAAATACATTTACCAACGTATGTACAATGGCGTCTTTTCTTGGGACATTGAGTAAAAAACAAAAAATAATTTTTTAAAAAATGGAAATGAATACTGAATAGAACTGATATTGCACATCAAACACAATGCACCCATGATAATAAAATTTATTAAATGTTGTTTCTTAATGTGTAGAATATTTTTAGTTATTAATTATCTAAATCTAACATCTTTATGAAAACATTGGCTAGCAATATTTACTCAAGGTCTGTGGTAGAAAATATGATAATGAATTCCACATAATAATTACTTAGCATATTTAATATTGCAATCAACCACATGTATGTCCTCACAGATGTATAATCCACTTCATCACTGATATACTTTGGATGACAGAAACATTTAATACTAATGCCATCAGTTCTGACGCACAATTAAAGGTCCAAGATTTTCTTCAAATCAAACATCATATCTTGAAAGTACTATTAAAACCATAAAAATATAAAAATAATAAGTACAATTTTCTTCAAAAATGAAATGTTAATTTTTGCACTCAATATGGCATATATTACAAGCCATATTTTGTACTTTGTATAATGGATCTTATATGTTTCTTCAATTGTCATTAAAATTTTCCATTTATAAACATTATTAATTTAATTTAGCATTAAGAAGCGTTTTAATAGCTTTTTGTTCTTCTGTCTCAAGTGCTTCTTTGATATGCTTCTTTTGGTTCACGATAGTAATGAAGTTGGTTCAATGTACTCAAAATTCCTCTCACAAAAATAATAAAACTCTTGCATCATTTATTTTGACTTTTCTTCATTTGGTGCAATACAATGTTTGTAGTAGTTATTTGAGTCAATAATAATAAATAAATAAATAAACAATGAACTTGGTATAAAAAATGATCATTATATATATATATATATATATATAGAAAAATGATAAAAGCAACCCAAATTTTTACTAAATCAACCCACATGTTTAAACCATTATTGTATCCTTTCAACCCCATCTATGTTCCCAACGGTCCCTATGTTCCCAATTGTTGCCCCTATTTCGACGATCCTAGTCCCTTGCCCCTGTCCTTAGCAATGGATGGAAATGGGGAACAACTAGGAATAGGGATGGGGGTTGCAAGGATGCAATGATGGTTAAGATAAATAAATTGCTTTAATAAAAATTTGGGTCGCTTTATCATTCCTCTATATATATGGACTTGTTAAAGCCACACCCCCATTTTGTTAAAACTACAACACTAAACCATGTGATGATTAATTTAGTCCAATGTCACTCCACCCCCACACTCCATCATCTTCATCCTCCATCACTTCATAGGGCATAAATGTGATGTTGAGGCGGAGCTTGGATGTACCAGTTTTGAGAATCACCTCAGCCCCGCAGAAGCACCTCGATCGATTAACTTTCTTCTTGATTATTCTCGCTTCACCTGATGCGATTCAGTTCTTATTTAATTATTTCCACGGACTGCACTTCAATGTCACAATGACCATGTCGCCTGCAAATTTATGTTTTTTGTTTTCTAGTTTTTAAACTTTGTTCGTTCTGGACTTGTTTTGCAAATGTATGAATCTAATTGTTCTGCTTTGGATCTCTTGCAGGAAGTGCCTGAGAACAAGCACAGGGTGTCTCGACTGAGAGGTATCGTCATTTCACGCCACAATGCATGAACCACTCCTGCTGTTACACAAGACACGGTTGCCCACCACTGGTTTGCACGGGTACTCAGACTAGCCTGCAAAAAAGACAATTCACGCTTTGATGAAATCAGGCTCACATACATTTAAGGCATGGTTCTTTAAGAATATTTCCAACTCAGAGGTGCAGTCAAGAAAGCGTCGCCAGTCAGCTCCCATACGATCAATTTAACACATACCAGCACCACTTAGTTTGGGGAGTGTCATAAGAAGAAAACAGGCTCAATTGTGCAAGAATGCAGGGTCATAAAGTAGAGGGGAGACTTCAAGAAATATATTCAGAAGACTAAGTTTATCGCAAATATTGGCTGGTGAGCACATTTTGATGCTTGTCGACCAGTACTATTCAGCCGTTAACTGCAGCATCGCGGTCTCAAGTATTGACAGTGAAGATTTCAACAACAACAATACGAATAATAATAATCGCAATCGCAAACCTAGATGATTCGTGACTGCTTCATTAAGCGCCAACCTGAATCTGCAGAAGTAATATCGCGCATCATCTCTTCAACATGAAGCTTGGTATGACCATATGGATTCGGAACAAATAGACGGGAACAAATAAACCCGGATTGACGCTACAGAGATTGTATGTGTTTCTCACCTTCGCAGGCATTATGTGTACTCATAACGGGTACACACGGTTTATTGATTAGTTCCTGGAGCTTCTTTCGTCCTGTTTAGCTTCTTCGGATTCAGAATTTTCAAAAGTAGCTAATTGGAAGATTCTCAACTATTACCGGAACCAATTAATCGCGAGGATCTTCTTAATCTGTATACCAACTTTCAACTCGCTCTTTCGATGCAGTTCTGTATTGGCACAATCAAAGACAACTTTCTTGGACTTATTGGTGATCCTAGAGGTGCAACCTGAGGACTCTTCATAGGTTTCTCATGAACAAAATTATTGCTTGAATAGCCTCCTTTTAAAAATGGTTTAGATGTAGATTTATTGGACACGAGCTTAAGACACTTTTTGGACAGAAGCATCCGCTTGAAGGCCCTAGGGAAAGATGAAACACCGTTATGAAACCTGTGAAGCATGAGAGATACTCTAACCTGAGCGACATCGTAATGTTGTCATTCCAACCATGGTTAAGCGTTTATAGCTTGATATCCTCGGTAGAAATTTTTACTTTCCACGACACCGCACTGGGCATCAAAGCCTGTGATTGACTGTAATGCCCAAGCCCGAATTCCTCTGTGCAATAAAACTGAAGTCAAAACTAGGCTGAGGTACTGCGTGTATTTGTACCCCACCAAGTAATGCGCATTCACCAAAATATGTTCCAGGAGAAGGTAAAAATCTTGTCTTGCCCTTCTTTCAACAAAGTATGATTCCTTCATGCCTCAAACTATGCATTACCGCAGATATTCTCCTCTCTTTTTCTCTCGCTCGGAGCGCGATCATAAGGAACCTCATACTGCAAAATGACATACAAAATAGCCTCGAACGCCCGCGGTAGACAACACTCTAACAACCTTAGACTGCACCAATTCGTCAAACACTTCCACAACAGCAAGCAGATTGGCCGATCCCGAGGGAAGAGGCGACCTCTCACTCGCAAGCCAAACGAGCAAGGATGAATTGGCCTGATCGGCAGGGCTGCCCTCCACATTCTTGGGCAGTGCTTTGGGCACAGAATTGATTCCTCAGGCACAAAGGACGGGCTGCCCTTTGCACTGATGAAGGATGATGATGGAGTGTGGGGGTGGAGTGAAATTGGACTAAATTAATCATCACTTGGTTTAGTGGGGTGGTTTTAACAATGGCTTTAACAAGTCTCTCTCTCTCTCTCTCTCTCTCTCTCTCTCTCTATATATATATATATATAATATAACATGATTCTGGGTCAGAAGCATAACTAATTACGGATATAAAGCATTCAAATCAATGATCATATGGATATTTTCCACACTAGAACTGTCATCAAATTTCCATAGATGTAGAATTAAACAGCACACTGAAAGAGGTTTACGAGTTAAGTCCGCTCACTGGCGTGACGTTCAGAATTTCTCAATTGGTGGAATAACGATTGCATACAATTACGATCAAAACATTTGAACTGCATAGAATTCTACCTCAACTAGAACCAGTACTGAGCAAGCCTTAGAACCTCTTAGCTATGCAGCTTAATAAGAATTGGTGTGCTAAATTCCAGTGTCTCAAGAGCGCATTCCGAGCTTCAGAGCTGAAATGAATCATCAATGCTAAGCGGAGGATTTAACTGTTGTGGTGCTGCACCAGGATAGCATCAGACCATGGATACTCTACGCAAGCATGGGAGGAAAGGGTTGAGCATGCACAGGTAGGAGAGGGTCGTATGAAAGTTCCCAATTTTTGCGAAGCCGCCGTGTGGTTGTTCCTCTCTTCTCCCTGGGGTTTCCGAAAGAGCCCTTAAATCGCTTCCCACGCTTGGTCTTCTTATCTCCTCTCCCACAGACGACTGCGTCTAAGCCATCCTCTGAGCTCGCCATAACCTGCGACCCTGATTCAGGTCCAACCAACCTTGGAGCAAGACCGCTTGTATCCATAACGGACTGTGAAAAAGAGGAATGTAAACGCCACCAAACTGGTACAAATTCCAGCTGTGGTGTACGAGTTAAGGACTTCCCAAGCTGAAGGAGGCGACCCCACGCCATAGCAGCGCGTCTTGCAAACAACAATTTCGCAACCCTAGAAGCTAAATCTGCACACAAAAACGATCAGCTCATGAAGTAAAAAAACAAAAAAAAACAAAAAAACAAAAAAAAAAACAAAACAAAACAAAACAAAACAAAAAAACGTTTGAAATCACCCTGAAAGAACCCAACACTACAGAAGAACGATCACCAAAATCCTGATCGACAATGTTCACAGAGAACACAGAATTTTCCCAAACCCTACAGAACGCAAGCAGAAAACCTACAAACATTCGACGTCTCCCTAAAACCCTAATTAAAAAATATGCGGTATGTAGCAAGAAAAAGCCGAATCTGCAGAAGAAAAAACAAGACCTGTAACCAGAAAACGAGCCTTCTTGAAGATCCCTGAAACCCCAAAAGAAGTTGTGAAGGGTTAGCAACAAATCTCTGCATTCAAACGCGAAGAGATTAATTGAAATCCCGAAGTCCGCACCGCAGCGTGAATGAATACAAGCGACACAAAGTGAAGCGGACCAGAATCCGAAACCTGCAGTGTGAAAGGAAGAGTCCGCGAACTTGCTATCGTCGGTCTAGTGTGACCGTCTAACTGGTGGTAGCCGGTTCTCATCTAGTCTGAAGTGTCGTGGACCCGAATTTTTAGTCCCCACGTTTAGTTTTTTTATGCACCTCTTGAGCCCAATGGTAGTGGTGAAGTGTTTTTTTTAATTACTTATTTTTATGATATTAAATAAAAAAAATTATGTTGTGTTGGGAGGAGAAATTGGAGAAGATACATTTTTTGGGGAATATGTGCACTAGAATGATACTGTAAGTAATTTGACAAAACCAAAAGGTCATCAAATTAGGAGTTGTGAATATAATTTTGAGAATTTCTCAAAAACTCTAGATAATTATTCTTTCTTGATATCAAGTGTGACAAAAGAGCAGCTTCAAATGCCTCTTGTTATGAAAGGAGCTAAACAAATTGCATTTAGAGGGGGTGATTAAATTTGCTTTTATAGTAAAATAAAAGCAACCAATATTGCAAAAATATTGTCAAAGGAAAATGATATGTTGTTACTTTTGCTAATATAGATTGATATAGGTTGTTGCTATTTCATTTTTGAGATGTTTAGATATCATTGCATCAATAATACACAATCCAAATAGATAATTTTAAGAAAATATGTATTTATTTGTCTTCTTAGAACATTATTTATAATATAAACTTTTTGAAATATATTTCATTTCTTCCCTTTAATAATCATAAAATTCCTTTGAATTACAATAGAAATATAATGTCCATCACTTTTTGTTATGTTTTTTATTTTTTATTTTATTTTTGTAACATTATGCCAAAAAAATAATCTATAGAAACAATTCTAAGTTCTACAAACAATTTTTAAATGTATAAATATATATATATATATATATATATATATATATATACTTAAAAAAATCAACCAATTTTTTTGTACAAAATAAAAAAACGAAATAGAGTATATAATTATAAAAAAATAAAACACGATATAAAATTCTTACAAACTCATTGTAGATCTAAAATAGAATCTTTTTCATCATCTTTAATCTAATAATGCTTTGAAGACATTCAAAAAAATATATTTAATTTTTTTAAAAGATTGATAGACCATATTAGCGTTAAATATCTAATGACATATACCTATATAATTATCTTGAGGATATAAATATATGTATATTCTTTGATATGTAACATATAAGAAAAAATAAATAAGACGAGTTGAGAATAACTTAAGAAAAGTCTTCTTATGTTTGAATTCTCAACGTAAAGATTTCTTACATTAACAAAATTTCTAAAAATATATTAAAATATTAATTTTAAAAACTAAGATTAAATTATAATAGCATAATATGTATTCATACTACTTGCTAGAGCCTTATAATTTACATTTAAAATCATATATTTATAATAACTTATTTTAATAAAAAAATTGTATAAAAAAACCTAGTATTTTAAAAGAATGCATCAATATTTTAAATAAGAAATACATATTTCTAAAATTTTAAATTTTATTTTTTTATATTTATTTGACAACTAATAGTAAGAAAAAAATATATAATTCGCCTTCAAAAGCCATTTTTTTTTCTAATTTTTCATTTACTTAAATGCTTATATTCCATTTCTTATGGTGATCTTACAAAATTCAATTAAAGATGTACTACATCCAAAATTATAAATATCAAGGGCCTTTTGATCCAAAATAATGTATTTTCTAAAAACTAAATAATTACAATGAGTAACAATCTTTGTTTTAAACTCCTATTCATTAAGAATTAAGTTCAATACTACAAAAGAATGTGTTGTACATATTGTACTGAGTTCATTGTTATGTTTTAGAAGTTATACAATAAATTGAAATAAATGATTAGTTAATATTATTTAACTATCTATTGGTACATATTAGATTTTTAATTTACAAATAAGAGAATTTTTAAAAATTCATTTAAAAAATACCTATGTTTACTATTTTAAAAGTATACAAATTGTTAATATGATAAGGTGTAGATTATTTGACCTATTTTGTTTAATTAGATGTCAACCTAAACATTTTCAACTGATGCAACTATCTCTTTCATGTAAAATCTTATATTTGAAGAAATTATTCATATATTGGTCAAAGTGAACACCTTCTATGTATAATTCATTTTAATTTGAAATATAGGCAAATGTTTGTAGATTTGACAAAACTGTAATGAAAAAACTGTATGCAATACAAATTTGCTAGAGCAGTTTTTAAACTATAATATTTGAATTATTAAGAAAGAATTTACAGGAGAACAAAAAAGGAATTAAATTAAATAAACTATGGTTGATCATGCAAGTAGTAGAACTTACACAAACAAATGTCTTTGAATATTTTAAAAAATAATAATATTTTACTATTTATCTATATGCAAAAAAATATAGTATTAAATATAATCTGATAAAAATAATAAAAATTTATAAAAAAATATAATCTAAAATATGAATAATAAAATATGAATAGTAGCATATTGATAACAAGGGACTTCCAAGTAGCATTGAAACTAATAAATTTTATTTACAAGTTTAATTATTTCTTAAAACATATTACAAACAACAATTGGTATAATTTCTCAAAATTTGGAATGATTATTTATTTAGATATTCATAATGTATGTATGTATATTTAGATACATACAAACATACTGTTGTAATAAAATTTAAATCATTAGCTTATTCTAAAAGATACTCTATTCTATTTGAAAACTATATCTGGATTTTTAAATATACTGCACTGTATTAGTTTTTTGTATTTCACCTAAATATTTCATAATACAAAAAATACAAGCAACTTAAGCTCTTAAATTAACATAAGATTCAAAATTATTTTTACTTTATTTATTGCATTTCAAGTGTTTTGATGCATCAAATTTTAAATTACAGTGACAAAAATATTTGAAATATGTTACTTAATTTATTTTAAAAAATTTTATGTATGTTTCTTTTTGTATTAGAATATTGGGACATAAGTCTTAGAATATATGTGATTTCTAGACTCTTGTAAGAATAGATCTTGAATTTGAAGAACCTTATATATTGGAAAGTTCAATGACAACTAGAACTCAAGACATGATTTATATATAGTTTTTGCTTGTGCTGCTCATCACTATTAAATAATGTAGTGAATCAACATGAGAATTGTCTAGAAGGGTTCAAAAATTATTATGTAAGTTTTTATATTCAAGTCTTTTATACTTTGCATTAAGAAAACACTAGTATTACAAATAATTTATACTTATACAGTGGAGTTATTTAATTTGTTAACATATTGGTTGCTTGGTGCAAAATAATACATACTTACAACTTCTTTTTTCTAACAAAAAAAATAATTAAACAAGTTACAGCTTGTAAGTATTACTACATGACTCTAAAGGTTTTCTAAAAACATAATCAATAAATTATACAAACATATGACATTTATTCTACCTGGTCAAGGGTCTTCAAATTTATTTTGCAACAGACTTAGCAAATGCAATATACACTTTATATGTATATGCAACATCACACTATAACCCTTCTGCAAAACATTCTTGTATAAAGCACTCAAGAATAGAATACAATTTGTATAAAAAAAATGGTGAATTTTTAATACAATAGATTAAAATAGATAAAATATATGTTATAAAGTTATGCATTAATACTTTTTTTAAGCTGTCTACAAATTTGACATGATTTATCTTGTTTCTTTTCTTTTCTTTTCTTATATAGTTTAAACATCACTTTAATATTTTCCATACACAAACAAACATCATATTCACAAAATAATCCGTCTGCATTGCAATCCCTACCACAAAATCAAATTCTATCATGTATTTTGTAGAACTCTTTTTTGGTTGCTAAAAACAATTCAAAAATTGGAAACACAACTTTAGTTATAGATTGCAAAGTTGTATATCAATTCACCAAAAAAAAAAAAAACAAAACAAAACAAAACAAAACAATTTAAATTAACACAAAAAAAAATATTTTTTTAAAATGTGCTTTGAACATGCATTACATTAACAAAATGATCTATTTTCCACATAGTGTTTAAAAATGCACTGAATCACATTAATAATCAACTTTTTTTTTTCAATATTATATAATTTTTTTCCTAATTAGTTTTGCAATCCATTACACTTGTACACCAAATCAACTCTCCACCTTTTCCAATTTCTCACATATCACTTTATTTCACTTTTACTACAATTCTACAACAATTCAACATTTTGTGACACTTTTGTTTATCGATCCGAATAGAAACAAACACACACACATCCATGTTTGTATCTTCCAATCTCTTATGTAATACAAACTAAAGGGAGATAAACCAATGAAGTAAACTAAAGGGAGATAAACCAATGAGATAAACTAAAGGAGAAAAAAAACCATCTTTGATTGGCTGCACATCTCATTATTTTCATCAAAAATAAAGCAATAACTAAACCTTTCATCAACCTCAAATCAAAATCTGCATGTTGTTGCAGATTGTCTAGAGTAGCACCGCAAGATCACTAGGCACTAAGCTCAAAAACACCCAACAAATGAATAAACCAACAAATATTTGCAATTGACCACCTTGTTTGTGGCCAATAGCACAGGTTTCCACTAGTCTATATATAAATGTAAAAATGAGAGAATCACACATTTCATTGTTGATGTTCATATTTATTTTATTTTATTTTATTTCATAATCCTCAAACCCCGAAGGTATCAGCTCTGAGTCTGAGCTCGACTGTTTTGTCGTCTTCATACACTGCTAACAAGACCTCCAACGGCATTCTAAGTCGGCAGCGGATCGAGGGGACTTGCGGCGGCGAGATCACGAAACATGGCTTCCAAATAGCAACGCAGAATTGTGTGCTACCCCACCCCCAACGTGAAAGAGGAGGAGGAGATGGAGAAGGTGACTGGTGGGGCATGCGGCGAAAATCTGCAGGGATTTCCATGGCTCGGCAACCAACGCTAATCCACAGCTGCTATTGCAGTGCCACCACCCAAATCCCCACCGCCCCCGCACGAGTGGGAATCCTGCAACTGGGTCCGTTTCCTTTTTTAAAAAATTTACTGGGTCCGACCTCTTCGCAGAGCCGTTGCGTCACGCGCGGTTTTTTATGGTAGAGAGAAACGACGCTAGGTCGTTCCTCTTCCTCGCCCCCTCTCCCGGTGCATCATATTTGTCGATTGTTTCCGTTGCACTCCTAGCTTACAATTCTGTCATCCTGTAGTCGATGTCCCTCGAGCTGCCATCCAGAAAGCTCTTCAGTCTTATACTCGACCTGTTCGGATTGCTGTCGACGCATCTCGTTACGATTGAGCCGTGCCTGCGGTGTCCCGGGCACTTGTGTCATCTTTTTTCAGGTCTCTCTAGAGAACCTTCCTCGTGAACGCGTAATGTCTCAAGGTTGATAGTGTGGGGGTGTCAGCTTTTTCGTCCCTGGGAGCATCGTTTGGAGCGTCAGCTGTGACTTCCTGTCGAGATCCTTGGTAACCACTTTTAATTGTTTTCGAAGTTTTGGTTGGTCAGCGGATTTGCTCCCTCGAGGCGTCTGGTAGTGGTCCTTATTGGGAGCCAGGAATTTTTACGGATGTTTCTAGATGTGTGAAAGTCAAGAACAGGATCAAAAGAATTGAAACGGACATTCCCAATGTCAAGTTACAGCACAATGCTTCATCTTTCTCTCGTGCATCGATTCCCGACTACGTCGATTCCATGCATACTCGATGTGTGTAACGCTAAGTGGGCTTGACGACGTAGTTGGTTCATGTATTGTAGAAAAATTGCTCTGCTGATCTCGCTTGTCACACATTGGATGCAGTTCTGCAGGGCACTCCTCTTTGAGTAAACTAGATCTAGGATCTGTAGCATATGAAGAGTTGCGATCGAACGAATTGAGGGGCGCAAGTGTTAGGAAGGTCTAGGAGCGCAGTGGGCAGATACAGAAGTTGTGGGGGAAGATAGTGGATACGAGATGTGGGAGATTTTAAGTTTCTCCATACCCGCTGCACTCCTAATACCTATGCTAGGAGCTATGTTCGCAGCGTGGTTCTTTTTGCAACAGAATGCGAAGTCTAGCGATATTCGCAGGGCTGAACTCCAGCGACTCCAGCGTAAGGCAATCGAGGAGCTCGAAAGGGCTGAAAGAGAGTTGGAAAACGACCACGCGCTTAACACATGGGATGGATCACGTGGCAGAGGAGGAAATTTCCGTACTAGAGGAGTACCAGGATATGGATATGCCGACAGGACTGAAAGAGAGTCGGAAAACGATAATGGGCGTAACAAGCAGGATGAATCTCGTGGCGAAGGAGTGAATCGCAGTGCCACAGGAGCACCAGGGCATGAGTACGGAAAGGACCGCGTTGGTTTTGGTGATGTTGGAGGATGGAGAGATCTTGAGGTCGATACTCCCAAAACTAAGCGAGCTGAAGTCATGGAGTATCGCAGGAGTATCGTAGGAAACAACGATGCACCTGAAACGGAGTTCAACCGTAGAAGTAAAGCCGAAAGTGAAGATTACATTGACAAGAAACACGATGAGGTGAGAAGAGTAAAGGATAAGCAGGAATGGGAGAAGAGAAGGCCGGATCTTGAAACTCAGGCAAGGAGAGAGGCGGAGGAAGAACGGAAGAGACAATCAGCGGCATCTGAAAATGAGAAACGAAGGAGGTGGGTAAATGAAGATACCCAGGAGTCTGTGAGACAAACGCAATCTTCGTCGACACCGAGATGTGCCGTCTGTCAGAAGCCTACAAGAAGACGATGCGCACGGTGCAAAGTTAGCAGTTACTGGTACTTTCCACCCCTGTCCACTTTAGCATTTTACATCCCTGGTTGAATGTAATTGAGCCTTTCGATGTAACATCAATTGATGTATTCAGCTCTCGGGAATGCCAAGTGAAGCACTGGATCGATGGGCACAAGTATGAGTGTCATGTGGCTGACACTAGCATCAGCCCAAGAAGCTTCGGCGGCGACGACACTTTCTGATTCAATATTCTCAGTAGCCGCACCAGCAACATTTGTGGTATAATCGCACTCACACATTATTCCTTTTGATACGAAATCCCAAGTGTCCCCTTTCGTCACTGTTAGCACGTTTCCACACTATCAACTCCTCTAGTTTCATGTTTTGTTGCCGTCTCTTGACAATTGCAGAATTTTAGGAAAGCGTATCGAGAAGCGTTGCTGGGGTCCGAGGCGCATCTTGCACGGATTTCACAGCTTCACGTCCCCACTAACTTCTAAAAGCCTCCTCCTGTTATTTGGTTGCATTTAAACAAGAGCTAGGGCTAAGTGCAAGCTAGAGAGATTAGCCTGTTGGCCTCTCGCTTCGAAGGAAAAAAGCATCAACCGATCCGCATTGTACCTTCTACCAGATAGTCCTCCCCAAAAGCAATGGCTCAAAGTTCTTGATGATGATCCGTTACTCCAGCGTAGTACAAGACGCAGAAATTGCCCATTGGACTTCATGAAGCTGAACTGCACAGTCTCTCCTTTCGGTGCCAGACTGTCAGCCAGTTGGGACATCGATTCGGCACCGAAGGAGTTACTGATTCTTGTCATTGAATTAGACAATGTGATTCAAGTACCCACAACCCCGAAACCAAACATCAGTAAAAAGTGCGGTCAGAGGTATTTCGGAGTGTATAGGATTGCGTTAATCAGAATCCTGTAATATATCACTGAGGCGATGTAGGTTCTGCGTCCGAACAGTTTTCAGCAGATCTTCTCATGACATTCGAATTCAACCGAAGAGTAGTGTTGGATTGCTTGTAGTATATTTCCATGGTCTACCATCACTCAATTGGGATCAATTAAGAACCTTTGTTTTGTGTCTTTTCCATTTTGCATCTGTGGCACACTATCTGATCGACTACTGCTCTATTGAATCAATCGTTCATCATCGGCACCGTCGTCTCAGTTATCGTTTTTGTAGACAGATTTTTCAACTTGTGCTTAATCATTTATAAGTTGATGCTTATCCACGTGTGACCTAGTGCAAGTTAAGCACTTGTTGTGTTAAATTAGAAGTGGAATTTGCAATTGGGTTCATAAATTGTTGTTGCCAAATTGTTTATAATTTGACAATGCACCGAAATTCTAAACCACTAAGTTTTTATGTACTGTTTACTTCTACATTCAATAAGATATCAATTTAATAACATGTGACCAACCTTACTTCGGTGTTGAATTGGTACAGCGGATAGACAATTAATTCCAGCAGTAAGTCAGTATACACGTTAACTAGACTAAACTAGGTCGTTCTAGGTTTGAGGTTGTTGGCATACATTGTTAATTAACAAAGATCTTCAATAATAATATAATAAGCTATAAATGATATAATATCAAAAACAAATATGCAATATTAATTGATTAAAAATAACTTATGTAATGTAGTATATATACACACAGAACTATACATAACGGCCTCAAATATGATGTATCTTTTATTTATTAAAGTTATTTTAATATTATAAACAACTTTATAGTATAAATTATATTCATGTACCAATACATCATACAAGTAGTACTCTTTGGAACATGTACTAAGAACGTGGTTCTTGCCCAGAAGCATAACTACTCTCAAGTAGCAAGTATTCAAACTTGATCACATCGACATTTAATTCATGTGACTTCAGATCAAAGTTTGGATTTTGTAATTTTACAAATATAAATATCAAAATAAAAATTATACATTTAATTGATCCTAGATACATGTATATGCATCTTCTAAATTTTAATGTTGTTATTATGATTATTATTATTATTATTCACATGGGATGAGTTTTACAATGCTAGAGAAGTGGAAAGGACTATTCTAATGCTCAGAAATATATGGATATCCAAGGATAAATAAAATGCATACGTAATTTTATGGATATATATATATATATATATATATATATTTATACACATACAGTATATTGATTATTAAGAAAAAAATTATTTATAAACTAAGTGGTAAAGATTTTTTTCAAAGATACTACAATATGTACTTGCACTCATTCTAAGATACAACAATGTCATGAAATACTCAATAAATCATTTTGTACCAAAAGAATAACATATATATAGACATATATATATATATGTTTGTATATATGTCTATGTCTATATCTATACATATCTATATATGTAAATATAACAACAAAAATGTGAAGGTTTAATATCAATCTCTTAATCACATTTCGTCCAAAATAAAGAAATCATCTTATTTGTTAAGTAGGAAGAATATCAGGTACAATGTAGCTCTAGCTGAACATTACTCTACATAGCCAGCAGAGTAATAGAAAAAACCCAAAAATTAAATCTTATCGAAACACTGAATATGGAAGTGAAGCAGAACAAGTGGGTTGCCCTTTCATACGATGTCAAGTAGTAGTTCATCCACGAAGAATGCGCCGACGACATCCAACGGATTAATGAAAATAGTCGATTTAGGGCTTAGATGGGAGAAGGGGCCAGGAGGAGGACAAAGCCTAGGGTTGAGGAGCATGAGGCTCTTTTGACGTTGCCTTGCTTGCATTCCAATCCCTTCTCGGTGTGAGTGAGCGAGCTGCTGCTGTTGCCCCACCATCGTCGTCGCAGCATGGCCCCCTCCGTGGTTAGCAACGGCATCGCCGTCGGTCTGCACCGGGGTCACCAAGTTACCAAGCGAGACATCGCCAAGCGCCCCTCCGCCAGCAAAGGCAAGCTCGGCAAGCGCACCTCCATGGTCCGCAACCTCATCCGCGAGGTCGCTGGGTTCGCTCCGTACGAGAAGCGGATCACGGAGCTGCTTAAGGTCGGCAAGGACAAGCGTGCTCTTAAGGTCGCCAAGAGGAAACTCGGCACCCATTTGCGTGCCAAGCGCAAGAGAGAGGAGATGACGACCGTTTTGCGCAAGATGCGTGCTGGTGGTCACGCCGAGAAGAAGAAGTAACGGAAGTCCCTTTAGGTTTTCATTCTGGATAGCAGGGTTGCGCTTCGGGGTTTTTTTGACTGGGGTTGTAGTTGCCTAGCTGTGCCTAATCCGGCAGCCAGGTATTGAAGAGCTTCTGTCAATTCACTTCCTACGTTTTCCCTCTGGTGTTAGGGTTAACCGCTTTTCTAATACTTGGGTATGCCTTACCTGCTTACATCTCTCTTTGCCTTTGCCAAAATGTTCTGTGTTTCTGATCTGATAGTATGTACTTGCCTTTTTTTTATTCATCTTCAATCCAAGTCTATGTTCTTCGGGATACCGCATTGGTTATTGTTGATTGCATGACGAATTGTATGTCAACGGTTGTGTCATATTGGTTTTTGATAGGTGAATTGAATTTTGGAATGGTGCGTCTACTGACGCGCCTCATTGTGTGCGATTGGATGGATCGGTCAATCATCCACATCGAGTGTTTCGTTTCTCTTTTTTTCGTATTTCTTCCGCTTTATAATTTTAGCATTCATATTGGTATATGCATGTTGATGTTTTATTATTATCCAAGTGGGCGAATTATACGAGCATGATGAGACGTTAAGGGCATAGTGGTCTTGAAAAATCTCCAAAGCTGCAAAGGATAATTCGCATGTCTTAATGTCTACACATCGTGGAGTATACTTCTCTTCTTAGTCATGGCACTGACCTTTTTCGTGCATCACCACTCTTCTTGGGTTGTATCATTCTATGCAGCGCACTGATAGTTTGAATCTGATCCACATGTTGATAGTACATTGTGTCTTGAACTACTAGCTTCGCCATGGTTTTTGTGGCTTTCTCCGTTGTGCAGCGAACCTTACACCACAGCACTTGACTATTATCACCTTTTATGATACTCTCTACAGCGAAAAACCACCTGTCATTAGTGACTTCGCCGTGTGCGTGTGTTAAGTCACATTCATGCTTCAACCCGCCATGTGAACTTGGTTGCAGTGCAGCTTTGGATGAGTACCCTCGTTCAATCCATCGATCTTCTCTTGTGTCTCAGCAGCTTTTTCCTCACACCACGTATGTTTCTGCTAACTGCCTCCGTTCCCTTGGAAACCCACAGTGGGTACCTATCTTGTTACGCTCTGAGTGCTTTACAAGCCCATTCCATTTGCCCCTGTGGTTGACAAAGAGTGAGTTACTGATCTACATTCCTCTTCAGTCCCTACTTGCTTGACAGTTGTACAGTCTTTCAGTACATACATTTACCTCAAACCTTCTTCACGAGAATGCCATGAAAGTTTCACGTGTAAAGACACTCTTGGGACCGCTTGAAGGAAACGCTTACCAATTCTTGAAATACGAAGGTATATGTTGAGTTTCAGTAAATTGCGGAGCGCATTATGAATACCTTCGAAACGAAGCACACAAGTAACAGTAAGTGCCAGATTCTGCATTGGAGACGACACACTACCTTCTTGAAAAAGTGAGTGCATGCACCCAATCTACCTGGAAGTACTGAAAGTGGTAGCTCTTCATGCTTTCATACAAAACTTAACAACCTTGAATAGAAACGATGTACAAGTAAAAGGACATATATTAAGCTATTCTACTCTATTAAGATATCTGATAGAAAGTATCATGTATGAAAGCTTACACTTGAGAAATGAACAAGAGTATACAAAGAATTTGATGAGATTGGTGATCATACTCCATTCGATATGAGTTGCAAGCTTAACAATCAAAGTTCTAAATAATCAAACTTCTAATAGTTGGTTACATATTCTATTAATTTCTTATTTTAAATCATAACAATAATTTTCAAGTCTTCAAAATCATCACAATTCTTTTTGATAATGCCACCAAATCAAAGCAATTGTTATGGATGATCAATTTCATACATGTTAAACACATTTAAAATAAATATTAAAGAATATTCCATTTTTTTTGCTATAATTTTACATATTGCAAAATTTTACATTTTTTAGATCAATACCTTAATTTTTTATTTAGTGAGTAGTCAAATATAAAGTTTTATTATTAGATGCATCTATAGAAATCTATGTGAGCTAATAATATGCCAAAAGATTTGAAGTATATTGCTCATTGCTTATCAAAAAAATATTAGCCAAAGTTGGTAAGGAAGTTTTTCCAATAGTAATCAAAATGAAAATTATATCTAAACACTAAATCAATGCATGGAAGAAGCTAGGATAAACCCACCTCCATACTAGGCAATAGGAGGGTATGATTTTTTGAAATGATTTTTCATCCAATTCTATGGCTTTGGATAAGAGATAAATTTAATTTTTTAAAGAGTTAAACAATTGGTTTAGTTGTGGTTATGAATTTAGCTTAAGGACTTAAGGGCATAAGAGTTAAGAGTAGACAAATTATTCAGTTTGTTATTTGCATCATCATCATGAAGAAAAGAACATAATAAAGTATAACATAATTTTTTTGAATATCAAAATTGGATTCAAGAAATAAATGTATTATTGAAAGAAAAATGCATATTAAACAAGAATCAATGTACAAGTTTATATATGAAACTTATTCTTGCCACAAAAGTATTTAAAAAGTTGAAAACTTCTATTAATGACCTTAAAAATTGTAGGTTCATATTTGATGAATTATATTTGAAATGAGCAAAATCTACTTGTTGATAAAAAAAATTGTGGAGATGACAAATGGTACAAAGAAGCTATCTTTCAAATTAAGAACAAAGAAAATTTTAGAGACTTCTTTTGAATTTGAAGCATTGTTGTAATGCATCAAGTGATGTATTGTCAAAGTACTATTTAGAAGAATTTGGAGACTATGAACCTATTGTATTTGATGAAGTTGATAGAGATAATGAATACCTTTGTGAGAGATTAAATAGAATCCAAGATCTAAGAATTATAGATTGTAGATTAGCTAAATATATACTATAAAGTTAGAAAGACTTGTAGCACATTGAAAGTGGAAAATTGAATAATTTGAAACTTTTAAACAATATTGAAAGCTTACAAATTGGTGATGGTATATGCAAGGATGATTGTGAAGGTGTTTAAAAATCTGAGTATTTTGGGCTCATATGCACTACAAAGAAAATAATTGGTACTTTTAAAAAATATTTTCCTATTGAAGTAGATATTTTAGCTAATTTTAGCCATATCAATCTTGTTAGGTATTTTTCTTGCAACAAAAGAAAATAAAAAAAAATATGGTAGAACAAATAATATAGAAGGCAATGATGAAACTTTGTATATAGTAATAGAGTTGATGGATATGGATTTGCAAAAATTATTAAAGAAGATAAAATCAATGATATACAATTTTTTTATTGATATTATGTATTAAGTTGCAAAAAAGATGTATTATTTGCATGACTTGCATCATCTAATAATATAAAATCTATTGCATCATCTAATCATTCTTAAGCCAAAGAATGTGTTTATTAGTTTTAGTATTAAAAAAAAAAAAAAAAAAAAACAAAAAACAAAAAACAACTATAATGCTTTATAACATGTATTTATCAAAATTGGTGATTTTTTCACTTCTAAATTTGATGTGGGAAGGAATTGAAGAGCTAAAACTAAACAAATTATGAATGGTAAATCAAAGTATGTAGCTCCTAAGTAACAATAAAGCAATAAAAACATATCTTTCAGAAGTATTTTTATTTTTATTTTTTTCATTTGCAATGGTAATTTTTGAGATTCTTTCAGAAAAGGGTCATTTTGTAGAATTGAAAAGTCAATTGAAAATAAAAAAGAATAAGAAAAGGAGAAAAATCAAACTTACCATCAAATTGTGATGAATTGAGTGTATTGATTGTAAAATATTAGAGTCCAAATTCTTAGCAACGTCCAAAGTTAGAGGTATTTGTGACTAACTTGAAAGATAGAAAACACAATTTCTAATTGGATGTTATAAAGCTAAATTTTCTTTCTTGGTGTACTACTAAAAAAAAAATCTTTCAAATAATAATTATAATAAAAAACGATGATAATTAAAAGATATATATACATATATATATATATATACATATATATATATATATATATATATATATATATTTTATTAGGATTTTATTTCTTTAATTGATTGCTTTAAAAATAAAATTAATTTGATTGATTAGATGATGTATATATTTCATAAGTATATTTGTAATTTAATATTAAATTATAACATTTAAATTATATAAAATTTAAGCTTTCATTATTAATTTTTTTTTATCAAATATATTAAAATTTTTAATATAATAATTATAAAATTTACAATGGTCGACTATTAAAAAATGTACAAACTTATCATTTTTTTGAAATATTTTTAGTAGTCTCACATCTTTAATAAGCCTTGATATATGTAGGTACAAAAATTAAAATCTTTGCCAAATAAATAGAGAAGCTTCACATCTTTGATAAGATTTAATTTTATTAAATGCAAGAACTTGATATCATTGCCAAAAGTGTTAATATTACATACATAAACATTTACATTAGTAATTACATAGATTAGAAGAATTAGAAAATAAATAAATAAATTTAATAGTATTTTATAGAAAAGCTTCTTAGAAGCTCTATACACTCGGATTTGATTTTTAAAGTGATTACAAGTAATTGAAAAGTTAAAAACTTGACTGATAAGTTGGCCACATATTATATATGTTGGTCATTTATTATATAAGTTGGCAATGTGACACACATATTAGGAACTTCAAATCTTAGATTCGTATGATTTTATATTTGTGATAGTAAATCTTTTTATCAAGATGGTATGTTTTGTACCATGTATAAAATCTATCACAAGTGAAGAAAGAATTGAGTTTTTTCTTGACAATGTCTATTGCTATCATAAATTGTCCAAGGATATTATATCAAATAAGAAGACTCAATTTAAATCAAAATTTTGGAAAATCCTTTTTAAGATTTTAAAGATAGATATAAAGCTCTCTTTGGCGTTTCATCCTCAAACAAATGGATAAAAAAAATAAGTGAATTAAGTTTTGAAGTAGTATTTGAGACATACCATCAACTATCATCAAGATGATTCGACAACTAATTTATCATTAGCGAAATTTGTGTACAATAATTTGATATATTCTTCTACTCAATAAATACCTTTTTTTACTAATTATGGTTATTATTCATAACTTGATACTTTTTATTTTTTAAATGTTAATAATTATGCAAAAAAAGATTCGACAAATCATTTGTCAAAGTTACATATAACAATAAAGACTCAATTAAAGGAAACTTAAGAACAAAAAAAATGAAAAAAATCAATGCGGATGCTTATTGCAAGAAACAACTATAATTCAATGTGGGTGACAAGTTATGATTACTT